GGCCGCCGCCGCTACCGGAGGCGCAGGAGCCTCGCGATAGTGTTTGCACAGGCGGCGCGTGACGCCGCCGCCGCCGCCTGTAACTGATGCAGAGGTTACCCCGCCGCCTCAGCCGCCACCCACCGCCCGCCGCCGCCGCCGCCACCCAAGCGACGCCGGGGGCCGACGCACTGCAGAGGTGCCGGCAGGTTCCGCTCGCGGAAGTGTCCTCGGCCGGCGCAGCCCGCGCTCCGCCTGCACTCCAGCGGGCGCCCCCTCGACGCCTCCGCCGCCGCGCTTCTTCCCTCCGCCTCTTCCCCGGCGCGCCCGCCTGCTCCCTCGCTTCTCCCCCTTTTCCTCCTCCCCGTCCCCTCTCCTCCCCTCACCTCTTCCCCCCCTACCTCCCCCCCTTCTCGGTTTCCTCCCCCATCCCCTTGACTCTCCCCTCCCTGCCCTCGCTCCCTCGCTCGCCCTCAGCGCGGCCCCCGCCATGACGGAGGCGGGTGCCGGTGCCGTTGCCGCCGCTGCCGTCGCAGGGGGGGAGTCGGGTTCCCAGAAAGTAGCTTGATGAGTGTCCAAAGTAGCAGTGGAAGTTTGGAGGGGCCGCCATCTTGGTCCCAGCTCTCCACGTCTCCAACCCCGGGCTCGGCGGCGGCGGCCAGGTCCCTGCTGAATCACACGCCGCCATCCGGGAGGCCCAGGGAAGGTAAGCGCCGTCGCGCCCGCGCCCGCTTGCGGGCCTGCTCTCCCGCGCCGCAGCCCCCGCGCCCCCCGGGTCTCTTCCCCCGACCCCAGGGTGGGGGATGGTGGCGAGGTGGACGCGAGGCCGCCCGGCTCCGGGGAGGTAGTGCGCTGGCTGTGGGTGGTGGTTCGCGGGTGGCGGCGGAGACGGACGAGGGGGTGCGCGCTGGAGGGGACGGGGCGAGGCGCGCAGACTCGTATGGGGTTCCTAAGAGCCAGTACTGCTAGGGTGAGAAGCCTCCCCCCGGACGCCAACCCCTTTCTGCTCCATTTGCTAGTACACTCAGTACTCTTAACCTCCTGGCCTCCGGTCTCTGGTGGGTTTTCCCTCCCGTTGAAGCATTCATCCTTGAGCCCCCTCCCCTTCCCTCGCGCACTCCTCCCATAGAGGCGGTCCCGGCTCTGCGAGCTTTGCAGCCCGGGACCTGAAGGATGCCCTCGCTAGCAGGGTCCCTGCCCTTTGGGGAGAGTCGCTTAAATTATCAAAGGCGACTTTGATCCCCTGCCTGGCCCCTTAGAGCAATTTAAACGACAGACTGACTCGTGGGCAGGCTTTTAAAACCACCCCCTCCAGATGGCTGCAACTTTCTCTCCTTCGCCATCACCTCCTGCGTGTTTGTGCGTTATCGCTCTTCTGCAAGTAGGCTCCTGTTCTCTGACAGGGTCGTGGGTTTTGTGAGAAATATCGGCGTAAAGGTTAATGCAAACACGCACCAGATCGGTTACAATTGTTTCCTAAGTTTTCTGGTTTCTTGCATGCAAGTGTGCTGCCACCAGATGTAGCAGTTACACAGCTAGTAAGATACAGGAGTGCTTTTTGACTAAAATTTCAACTTGCTGTATTTAACTTTAAGTATACGACATAAAATGAAATTTGGGAGAACATGCATTTATGAAGGAAGAATAAATGTGCATGGAATCGCATTTAATGCTCTTTTGTCTGGGAAAACGTTTAGCGGTATTCATCAGCAATTGGTAAATGGGTTGTTCACTCCCAGTTGTGTCACACAAGGAGACTGTAGCCACATTTTCAGAAAATGTCTGGAAGTCCAAGAGTCTGCTGAATCCTTCAAAGAAACCAGGAGCTATGATTTATGTAGGAAATGGTGGGGTTAATTTATTTTGAAAATATCTGTCAATATTTACTACCCAGCCTTAACAATTGTTAATCAAGTGTTTTGTGCCCTGAATCTAGTGGTTCAGGCATAGCATTCTTTGTCATTTTGTTCCTGTGAGCATGTGTGAAAGTGACAATAGGCTCAAAGATTGGCATGAATTTGCTCCAGAAAATTCATGGGAACGTTTGATTTATGGCATCCATTAAACATGCTGAACACACTGACAGACATTTTCCCTCTTTTCCATTTCACCCCCAACACTGAGTTCTGATTATTAGAAGACAAAAGTTTATTTATTGACTAATTCAAATTTAGTGCATCTGGAGATTTTTCTTTTTGCACTTGAAAATTTGTAAATGAATGTTTCAAAATCTATTTTGTACATAGAGCAGTTGGTGCTTTTAGCATGCTTCTATTTTTGTAGTTTCATTAAGATGCTTAATGATAGTGTTACCAGTGATAGTGTAATGAGTGGTGGTAAATGATGGTCTTGGGAAAGCCTGTCTTTTTTAAAGGCTTTACCCTTTTTCCATTCTTTCATTTCTCAGATATTTATTGAGCCATTTCTGTGAGCCAGGGACTGTACTAGATACTGAGGACATAGTGTTGAATTGTTCATCTGTAACATCAGTTATCAGTGTTAGTAATTTGGGGGCTGCAAAATCTAGATTGTGAGTTTCTGAGGTTACTTAAACTGTAGTTAAAAAAAACTTCTGTACTGTTCTGCACTTTTCCTGATGTTTGAAAATTTTGAGGGGTTGGAATAATTTAGCTTGAATTTCCAAATAAACAATTATTTCTAGAAGTTTGGATTACAGTAGGCTTTTATGTAAATTGGTGAATCTTTTGTTAATGAAATAAGACATGCTTTTGTGATCGTTATATTTCACCAAGTACCTCTGTGGCCACAGTGGTATATTTCTTTTTGACCGACCAGTATGTAAGTTAAAACTGTGTTAATCTTCTCTAGGGATATATTTATCTTGAAGTTATAGTCTCATATCATTAATGCAAACAGGAATTGCATATATGAAACCCTAGACATAATGATGGGGACATTTTCTATTGAGTGAGATCCCAGTTTTCATTTTAACAAGTGTTTAGCATTTCTTGCAGGTATACACATTGGTATATTATATAAGTTGATGTAAGTTGAGAGAGCTTTGGACTTACGGTGATTGTTAGTAAGAATATAGTTAATATTAGTGGAACTTGAATATATGTATCAAGGTGAGAACAAACTGTTTCTGAAAAATTGAAGCAATTTAATGTAATATATGATAGAAAAATTTAAACTTAAAAGATACATATGTGTGTGGACATGTATTTTAAAGTTATGTGGTAAACTGCTTTTAAGCAAACTTAACTTTGAAAATGGGCTGTTTTTGAAAATGTATCATAAATATCTGTAAAAATTGATTATTTTGAAGTTTTGATACATTTGAAACCAAAATCTAATATTATAATCTATTTTCATTGCTGTGTATTTTGACTTTCATCCTTTCTCACCCTGTTCTCATTCTCATCTTTATAGTTTTACTTGATTACAAATAAGATACACCTTTAAATATTAAAAGATCTAGGAATTTGTTGGAATTTAGGAATTTGTATGATAGAGTGTAGACAACATCTTTTCCTGAGTCCCAAAGCTTTTCTTTTATCAATCTTTAAGTTCCCTGAGAGGTGCTCAGCAGTGTAGCTCCAGATTTCATGTTGGATCTTTTATTTATTTATTTATTTATAAGATTTTATTTATTTGACACAGCGAAAGAAGGAACACAGGCAGGGGGAGTGGGAGAGGGAGAAGCAGGCTTCCTGCTGAGCAGAGAGCCCCATGCGGGGCTCCATCCCAGGACTCTGGGATCATGACCTGAGCTGAAGGCAGACGCTTAACGACTGAGCCACCCAGGCGCCCCTCATGTTGGATCTTTTAAACGTGTGATTTCTGTACCATTTTATCTTCTAATAATCCTGTGATTAAGGAAATGGGAAGTTAAGAAATTAAGTACATTTTCAAATTGAGGTCAGTTTTGCTTCACTGAGACCTAGGAACCCAGTGTCATATTGGCTAGATGAGCAGATGGGGTTTTTTTGGCCTGTCAGTACATGGTTACTTTTAAATTAGTTATTGCTAAGAATCAAATGATTATACAGAAGACTTACATTTTCTTTTCTGTTCTATTTTACCAGGTATGAATAATTTGCTTTGCTTTTATGTAAATAGTGAAAGTAGTTTGGTTAAAAAGATAATGTCACAATGTAATTAATCTGTTGCTCTGTTTTCGTGTTTATAGACTGCATCCATTAGAAGAATTAAAGTATTTGACTCTGGGTGATTGAGTTAATACAGTGTAGGGAGTTGTTAAAAGTAAAGGTATACCAAATGGCCTTTTAGTTTCTTGAAGTCACTAGCTGGAGGAGGACAGGGTTTTATGTTTAAGGATTTTAGCTTATGAATAGATCCATGGTAGATGCCTCCTTTATAGAGGCACATTTACGTGTTAGAGGAGAGAGAAAAGGAGAGAATCCCAGAATTTAGTTAGCTGCCTGGGAATCTGCCCCTGGGAAACAGGTTTTTTGGTCTCAGGAACCCTTTACTCTCTTAAAAGTTACTGAGGACTCGATAGAGATTTTGTTTATGTGGGTTATGTCTATTGATACTTACTATTTTAGAAATAATTTCAAAAATATTAACTTATCTAAAAATAATAAACTGATTACTTGTTAACAAATTTTTAAATGAATAAAAATTCTAAAACCAAAACTTTAGTGAGACTAGTAGCATTGTTTTACATTTTTGCATCACTTTAATTTCTGGCCTATTAAAAGACAGCTGGAGTTTGCTTCTGCTTTCAGTCTGTTGTGCTTTATTTTGATTGAGGTATTGTGAAGAGAATACAGCTTCACATAGGTATGTAGTTAGAAAACTTGATGTATTTTAATAGCCCTTTTAGAAATTGTATGTATTCTTTGATACTACACCAAAATTTGACAAGTGGCAGGTTTTTTTTTAAATGTTACTTGCAATATATGAGTACATTGTATTTCAGAATTGTCTCCGAGACCCACAAGAAATCTGTGGATCATATAATTATAGCCTAAGATGAGACCACTGAAAGGGTGGAAAGCGTGATAGCTGTCTTCAGGTGTTTCAAAAACATAAATAGAGAGAGTAGATCCATTGTGCTGTTTTAGAATGTAGACCAGCAGGTGAAAGTTAGAAAGGCATAGGTGGAATTCAGTATAATTTGTTGACCAGGATGTAAGAAGGATATAGCAGCTAGTGGAAAAAAACTGCTCTTAAAGTGTTTAGTGATTCCAGAAACCAGTATTGCACTATATGTTACCTAACAAAATTTAATTTAAATTAAAAAAAAGTATATAGCGATAAGAATTTAAAGAATCTACAGGGACATTTTTGGGTGGGGCAGAGATTGATTCTTATTTTGGATGTTATTGGATTAAGTGACTTCAGGTCCCATCCAGTTTAAAATGTAAACATTCTCTGGGTTTTTTGAAAATAGCTAAATACTGTAGTTAAACTATACATATATATGTATGAATGCTTTTGAATATTCTCTTCAGTCACTAGTATGAAACTACTGTTGACTTTATTTTGTGTTTTTATTGTGCTTTTCCTCTTAGTATTTTCTGGAATCAACACTATCAGTCTTCCTGAAATCTTGCTAAATTCCCTGTGAAATATAATAAGCTTTGAAGGCATTTTAGGGAATCAGATGCTGCTTGTGATACAGTTTAGTAGAGTTTGTAATATATTTGGGCACAGAATTTTAGAATACTATGGGGGCTGATTTTCAGTTTTGAAAGAGTTTCACCATGTATAGTC